ATAACCTTACATATTTAAACCGCCTTCTCTCTCCAATTATACGTAAATGGCGGTAGTTGTTAGTTTAATTAAAAATATAATTAATTACTTAAAAAACCTGATTTCTGTACTTATAAACCTCATTATGTATTAATGAAAATGAAAACTTAAAAACAGTCCAGGGTGTAATTTCCTCCATCGAGATCCAGTTGAAGGCCCATACTTCGGACTTAGGGACCCTAATCCGGAAAATATAAAAATGTCGCATGTCTTTACTAGAAGGCAATTCCGTCATTTTATCCCCTAGGGTTTCCATTTCACCATCTCCACCCGTCTCTTCATATTAATACAGTCTTTCTTTTACTTGCAGAAGCAATCACTCTGAAAGATAATCGAAACTAGGAGAGAGCAAGTAAATAGAGAGAGATATGGGAGTATTTACCTTTGTGTGTAGGGAATCAGCCGACGAGTGGAAGGCTAAGCAGCTCAGCGGCGAGCTGGAGGCATCAGCTGGCTCCACCTATGAACTCCAAAGGAAGCTTGTCCAAGTCGCCGTGTCGTCTGACTCATCTGGCGCCGTTCAATCAGCTTTCTCATACATAACCCCTTCCTCCGCCGTTTTCCAGGTTATTTTTTTATTTTTATTTTATTCAATAATTTCTGATCTGTGCACTGCTTTAACCTTTGCAATGAACAGAATTAAATGAAAACATATTAATCTTGGTTAGAAACGGGACTTTTTTTGTAGTTTGCATTTAAATAATTGTAGGATTTTGTTCATGTGATTTAAGTTATACTCGAAGTTGTATTGAAGCACCACAAAAAATGAGAATTCATATGTTGCAGATCTGATTAATGCTTACCAATCCATTCTTTTTTGTTTAATTATTCAATAGTTATGACAAGGTACAATCTCCATTGTACATTGTACTAATTGATGTGTTGCGTGTTTTTGCTCCGAAGTTGTACGAAGCAAATTTTATTGCTCTGTTCTTTCTGGTTTACGAAGATATTGTGGCATTGTTGTTCGAAATTGGTTGTGGCAATTGTATTTTCCCACGGGCTCATGAACTAATAACTTCCTATCTACTACTTTGAGTCTAGTTGATTACTCCTTGATTGATTGTATTTGGATTGCTATTTTATCTGAGGTTCTAGACCAGTTTCAATGATAACCGATGGCTTTAAGCCCAGGAAAAAAAAATTAAGCCACTTTTAATCAACATTTAGTTAAAAAACTTATCTTACTCTTCATTTAAAAAGTTGTTTTTGTTTTTGTCAGAACAATTAACCTACTCATTTCCAAGATTCAGTAATAAAGAAGTTATTTTTAAACTTATTTACATTATATGTAAACTTTCTATACTTAGCTAAGTGTGGTCGCCCCTCCACCCCGTGGACAGTGAAACCTGCAAAGATTGTTGTTTAATATTTACTTGAAATTTTAATGATGATGCAGGTGATTGTTGGTGGTGCGTGTGGCGGTGCATTCATTGGAGGTGGTGGAGCTGCAGCAGCAGCAGCTCCTGCAGGTGGAGCAGCTGCAGAGGCACCTCCAGCCGAGGAGAAGAAGGAAGAGAAAGAGGAGAGCGACGATGACATGGGATTCTCCCTCTTTGATTAGATTCAAATTTTATCTTGGATTTCATAGTAAACTTCGTGTCTTCCCAAATGTTCATCACTTTCTTGATGGTTTTGAATAGAATCGGATTATCAAGCTTTATTTTAGAGCCCTTGTTGGGTTTTCTTCGCGAATGCTTGAATTTTATTTGAATGCCAAATATCTGTTGTGAAAGATAATTTTGGATTAATTTGATTAGAATATTTCTTTATGGTGATATAAGTATTTTCACCCAATGAGGATTTTTAGAAGTCGAGCATCTTCAAAGGTTTCGATTTACTTTATCAAGAGGTGATACTTTGAGGGTTAACTCATCCCATATAAAACTCCTGAGCCCACCATTCAATTCCATATGATCAATAATCGTTTAGTTGCTTTGGATCATAGTAACAAATTGAAATTAAAAACAATTCATTTAGTCGACTTTAGATTTTATTGAAAACGATGTTTAGGTGTTACAAGTGAATCAAATCGTATTTGGCATCTAGAGCGTCTTTGAGTTTTTTTTTTTTTGGGGAAATAATGCATTTTAGAATAGTGTTTTGATAGAAATGTAGTTAAAAAATAAGAATTTTTTTAAGATTTGCGTATAATATTATTTTATTGAAAAATGTGATTGAAAATAAGATAGATGAAAATGTGGACCAAATAAAATCCTAATAAAACATGTTTTACTAAGTAAAAAAAATAAAATTCTACTCTCTATCAAACATATTTGGATATATTTTATTCTTTGTTATTTTCAAAAAAAATTATTTATTTTGAAAGTAGTTTTAGCCTCTGTTAGGTTTTGCTAAAAAAATGATTTTTAGCAAATTTGATAAAAATCGATTAAATGTGTAGTTATAAAGTTAATATAAGTCGTGATTCAATGAAATGTGTGGTTAAAATTAATTGTTAACTTTATATGAAATTTTTATCAAATTTTGAAGCTAACTCAAACTTGAACTTACTTTATTATAAGCAAATTACTTATTTTTAACGGAGTGATAGCAAATTTACAGCAAATTACGGTATTCTATCCCACACAACATCTCAACAGGTTCAACAAAGGACCTGACTTTTGGATTTGCTGTGAATCATTGCAATTCCGGACAGATCATATAGTTAGTAGAGCACTTTCTCATGTAGAGGTTCACTGCGAATGTGCAACTGCAAATCATACTTATGCTTCTACTCAAATCTTACTCCATATCATTGCAGAGGTTCATCATAAAGGTGCAACTGCAGAGCATACTCATGTGTCTACTCAAATCTTACTCCATATCACTCAAATTTATAATTACTACGTGCCTTCAGAAACTAAGTAGGAACTGGAAGGGAGTGAATTGTTTTAAAACTCACTGAACTTATACCTTGGTCACTGACTGTTTACTAAATTTCATTGTGCTTCGAAGTACTCGCTCAACTTTACCATTTACCTCTCCATCCATCACCGTCAAAAAATCTGTTTGTGGCTCGCTGACGTGGCAAACGGATTTCCTAGGTGGCAGTCAGACGGTTGTTAAAATTCCAACTTACACATGCTGGATCAATTAAAACACATCAACATGGATTTTTTAAACAATTTTTTAACTTAAAAAAAAAAAAATTAAAACCCACCAACCGCTCACAATTTTCCCAAATCGACTCCCCTCAAATTCCAATCGATTTGGGGCCACGATAAACCCTAATCCCAAATCTCCCAGAACGCACTTTACCCCACTTATTGAATCCTTGACGAATGCGCAAATGGAGGGACCAGGACCACACGGAGGTAAATTTGAATAATTTTGTCTTTGGTTCCTTGTTATTATTCGCACGGGTTGTCACCGCAAATAATTTTTTTTCTTTGTGGGGTAGCTTTCTGCTGTGTTTGCGTTTGGTTTAAGTGTATAAAATGTTTGTTGAAACGATTAATTGATGGATGACATAAAATTTGCAGACCATGACCCATTTGAAGAACTTACCGCACATGCAAATGACGAACCTTTAGACCACGGAGATTCATCTGATGTGCAAGAATCTGGTATAGATGAGGAGACTTCATTGATTTTGGGAATTAATTGGACTCCGAAGGGGATGACTTGCTTTATGATTTGCATGTGACGGACGGGATAGAAATGGGTTCGAATGTGGTGGAAGCGGCAGTACAGAATCGGCCGGAGGATGATGATGTGGTTGATGACTTGGAGTACCCAAGTTTTGAAGAGATTCAGGCTGACTGTGTATCCGATGAGGAGGTTAGCCATTGTTTTCCGGAGTTCTTGGCCGAGGTTGACATGCGGAATAGGATGATGATGTGGTTGATGACTTGGAGTACCCAAGTTCTGAAGAGATTTAGGTTGAATATGTATCCGATGAGGAGATTAGCCATCATTTTTCGGAGTTTTTGGCCGAGGTTGACATGCGGAATCCACATTTCGAAGTTGGTTAGCTATTTAGAGATGTGGTGGAGTTTAGAAAGGCTGTGAGAACATATGGAGCTGTAAACGGATACAATGTCAGATTTAAGGCAAATGACGAGAATAGAGTGCAAGGAATATGCAAACCTGGTTGCAATTGGAGAAATTGGGCGTCTTCGTTTGGTGACACGGGAACTGTTCAAGTGAAGTCATACTCTCTCGAGTACAACTGCACTAGAGACCAGTATAATAGGCATTGTAACTACGAATTCTTGACCCGTCATTACATAGAGGGGTTAAAAGCGGATATGGAGTGGAAAACAAAGAACATATTGGCAACAGTGAAGGAGGATTTCAAAACTGAAATCATGCGGAACGTTGCATGGAGAATGAAAAGGTTTGCAAAGGAACTACTGCATGGGACAATTGAATCACAATTTCCACATTTGTGGTTGTACGGTGCCGAGGTGCTATGTGCAAATCCAGGATCCACTGTCGTAGTCAACAACTGTCGAAATATATATATATATGTTGACGGCTGTTGGCCAAGATACGAATAACTGCATTTACCCCCTTGCATACGCAGTGGTTGAGAAAGAAAACACACCCACTTGGAGGTGGTTCATGAGGTTGCTAGCTGAAGATTTAAACATTGGTACGGGGAATAGTTGGACGTTGACGACAGATCGCCAGAAGGGCCTCCAAAATGTTGTTGATGAATTATTCCCGGAGGTGGAGCATAGATTTTGCGTCCGACATATATACTCCAATTTCTTTTCTGCCGGCCACAAAGGAAAAACACTAAAAGACTTTATGTGGTGTGCTGCCAAGTCCACCACTGTTGTGGACTACAAATATTGGATGCAACAAATCCAACAAATAGGTCAAGATGCTTCCCTTTGGTTGTTGGAAAGACCCGCACGAGCAAGTCCCATTTCGAAACTCACTTAAAGACGGATGCGAAGTGTTCAACAAGACGCTTTTATTGGATGGAGAGAAAATGATCATATATGCTTCTCTCCATTCAGCCGAGCTTCATGCAAATAATACAAAAGATGAAGGAAAATATGCATATGTACGTGGGTCGGCTTTGTCCGAGGATTAGAAAAAGGGTTCAAACGTTGTTTGACAATTCGAGGGAGTGCATCGTGCACCTGTCTAGTGGTGCCAAATGACAAGTGGAATGTAGTCATGGAACATTTGTGGTTGACCTGGAGGAGAGAACATGTGCTTGTAGAAAGTGGGAGTTGAGTGGCATTCTCCATGCGATGGTTGTTATACGCGAGTGTTGGAATGAGCCAGAGGATTATGTGGACAGTTGCTATACGACTGAGGCATACTCTAAGTGCTACGATAATATTCTTAATCCCATCATTGGGCCAAGGCTGTGGCTGGAAGTGAATGTAGAAGTAATTACCCCCCCAACTGGGCAGTGTCTAAAAGAGGGCAACAACAGAAAAAAAATGAGGAGATGGCCTGATGAAGTCGTAGTGCACGAGCAAGGAATGTCATATGTAAGGAAAACTGGGCAGGTGCAGATGACGTCCACGCTTTGTGGAGCTCGTGGATACAACAACGACGCCATAAAACAGCCCCTGTTTTGGATGTGAGTGAACCAGTTTTTCCTTTAACTGCCTTTTCCCTTAGGTTAAAATAACAGTGTTTTAATGTTGAATTGTAGGACTTCGTCGATGCACCGTTGGAGCCTATCGAATTTGATCAAGAAAGAGGAAGGACTCAAAGTGTAAGTTTATCATTCATTTGGAGTTTGGCGTAGCCTGTCGAATTTGATCAAGAAAGAGGAAGGACTCAAAGTGTAAGTTTATCATTCATTTGGAGTTAGGTATTTGTTACAATTCACAAGATAAGTTTCAACTTTTGTTAATCCACCATGTAAGGGAAACTGGCCGCGATGAAGGGGAGTCGAGTAGCGTTTCAGTCGTAGACTGTAGAGGCAATGGTTGAAAATCTCCAGGAATTGGACAATGCTGAAGCTTCGCAGTCAAGGGCAGCTCGAAGGTACTCCTGAAGTCGTGCAGATACGATAATTCCTACTTCTTGTCGAACTTGAACCGAGCTCGGACTAGCATCCGCAGTTGCTATTTTTGTTGAAGGATTCAATGTTTTGTAGTTGGCTAGGAGTCCTGTCTTGTGGATATTTCGTGGGATTTTTGTTGAATGATGTCGGTTTTTGTTGAAGGATTTAGTGTTTTGTACTTGGCTAAGAGTCTTGTCTTTTGGATAAGATGTTGCTTTTTGTTGAACGATGTCGATTTTTGATTTTTGTTGAAGGATTACTTGTGTATTGTGGTCCCTTTTGTTAGCTAATAATTATATGTAAGGTGATGCCCAAAACAGCAGTACCTTCTTGACCCATTATGGGAGATTTGGGATTAGGGTTTATCGTGGCCCCAAATCAATTGGAATTTGAGGGGAGTCGATTTGGGAGAATTGTGAACGGTGGGTGGGTTTTAATTATTTGGTTTTTTTTTTTTTAAAGTTAAAAAATTGTTTAAAAAATCCATGCGGCGTGTTTTAATTAGTCCAGTCTGTGTGAGTTGGAATTTTAATGGCCGTCCCACTGCTACCTAAGAAATCCATCTACCACGTCATCGAGCCACAAATAGAATTTTTGATGGTGATGGATGGAGATGTAAATGGTAAAGTTGAGTGAGTACTTCGAAGCACAATGAAGTTTAGTGAGCAGTCCGTTGCCAATGTATAAGGGCCTGTTTGGTACAGATTATCATTTTCTACAGTAAATCAATTCTCATTTTCAACCACACATTCTTCAATAAAATAATATTTTCCATCACATCAATACTCTTTTCTTCTTTTTCAACCACACATTTCCCATCATATCACTATTCAAAAATCAATTNTATCACTATTCAAAAATCAATTATTTCCCCAAAAATCTCTACCAAACACACTCTAAATTCAGTCAGTTTTGAAACAATTCACTCTCAACTAGAAGGGTTCAAAAACACAAAAGTAGTTATTTCAAAATTAAGGGAAAAAAAAAGGATGAAAAGGAATGAAGCGGGATCATCATCACGTCATGAAATAATCCGGCCACGTGTATCGCCGTTTTATTAAGTTCTATTTCCCGTCCAAAACCTTATTAGGGTTTTTACCTCTTTGATTCTTCTCTTCTCTCATCTCCAATAAATCATCAGTCCAATTCAAATTCAATTTACACGCATCTGTATCTATATCGAGATATGGAAGATGGAAATGCAGAGAGAGAAAAACTGACCCTGGTGGCAAGAAAACCTTGTTTTGGACTGCCAACTGCCTGTCCGAACTGTCTGCCAGTTTACATTTATCTTAGATTTTCCCAACTCCCTTTCAATTTGGAGTTCAATCTCATTCATCCTGATTCTGGTAATTCATTTTTTCTCCCTTTTTTTTTTTTTTTTCTTTTTTGGTACTGCTTGCAGGAGTCTGTTGTTTGTCTAGCAATTATGCATCCATCGATAATTATTTCATATTGCAGATAATCTTATGAACTGTTTAATATTAGCTATTGATAATTATTATGTTAAATTTTCAAGGTGCAAGCACTGAAGCTCAATTTTTTTTGGGGGAAATTGAGAAGTAGTGCATTGTGCTAGAATATTGTACTTAACTGTGGCTGTTCGATAATTTTTTGGGCTGTGCTCTTTTATATGTATTTGGGAATGCTTAGGAGTATTTAGTTCAGCATTAGTTTGGACAAAATCTGGAGGGGTTGCTCAATTAAACAGGCCTTGGATTTGCTCCCCAATAATCATCAATTCGAGGCCACTAAGGTGAGTATTTGGCCTTAAATTCCAGGTGAGCACAAGTTGGCATGGACATCTACGGTTATTTAAAAAAAATTAGTTTGGACAATGCAAAATATGGCAACCCGATAGGTATTACCATATTGTATATGACTTAAGGAATGCAGAAGGGGATTAAGTAAGAAGCCGATTCTTTTATTTTTATTTTATTGGGTTGATACAAATTTCAAACGTTTGTGGTACAACTTTTGGAAGAATCTGGATCCAGTTGTGGTTTATCTGGTTTTGAATGTGCAAGACTGATAAACCATTGCTTGACATATGAATTTTAGGTTTTAATACGTTCAAAATGTGGTATGTTCTCTAGCTTGCATCTGTTATTTTTTCTGAGCAATTAAATGGGGAAAAACAGAATCTGATCTGATGACTACTGTTTCTATTTTTACCAGATCAAATCCCTTTCGTTGAATCTGGTAATTATGTGGCCTATAACAATGAGAAGGGTGGAGTTATTTGTAGTTTGAAGGAAGATGGTATTGTTGATTTGGACGCTGAGGTTCGTGGTATACCTGAATGGGTATCAACCAAGGCAATGGTTGATTCATGGCTTGCAGATGCAGTCATTTATGAACTTTGGGTGGGGTCTGATGGTAAGTCTGCGTACAAGATTTATTACTCTGATCTCCCATGGCCAATAGGAAAACTGTTATACTTAAAGCAAGTCCGTGCTGTGAAACAACTACTTGGGATAACTTCAGAGAATGCAGAGAAAAGAGAAGAAGAGGTACTTTCTATTTGCATATAAACTTGGTTTTTCATAAGCTTGGTGGAAAGAATTTCTATTTAAATTCATGTAAATTAAAACAGGAGAACACCAATTGATTTTTGAGATTACATTAAGTTTTGTCTATATTTGAACTCATAATGTAATAACTATGGTGCATGGACGCTATTGCTTGGATGACACGTCCCTAGCCGACATGGATGTCGTTGTGTCGGACAATGACACTTAGACGCTCCATGACATGGGTACGGCAAGCCACAAGACATGTTCTATTTTTAAATTTGTACCACTCTAGGAATATTTCAAGGATACATTAGGGACATTCATTATCAAGTATTCCCATGGCACAAGTTGTGTCCTATAGTAGAAATTACAAAAATAAATATATGATACTTTCTCCGTCCCACTTATATAAGCTTATTTTGTTTTCACACGGATTAAGAAATCTTATTTAATGTTATTGAAAAAATAATTTTTGCCAAAAACTTTCCTAGTTTACACTTATTTAATTATCAATAACTAGAAGTAAATTATTATTGGAAGTAGTAAAGAAATAAGGGTATATCAGTAAACAAACAAAACAAAACATTCTTAATAAAAAAACAAGACTATATAATTGATATAAGGAAAGGAAAGTAAGCCTATATAAATGGGATGGAGCGAGTATATAAATTTTAAATTTCAAAGAAATGAAGAATTTAATCGATGTCATTGCGTTCTACTTTTAAGAAAAATCACGTATCGCCAAGTCCGTGTAACTTAGTGTAATAAAAATCTAGTAGAACAATGTAAAAACAAAATATCAAAGTAAATATGGAAACAATTATTATCTTCTTTTGGTTCACAACAGTTCTCCAAAAAGATAAGAATCCAATTGGATGGGGTCAATGTGTTAGGCAGAATAAATGATGAACTCTTAACGTAATATGCCATTGTTATATTGGTTATACATTTTGCAATTTTGTTGGCCATTGCTTGTACTATAGTCCCGCCAATATCATTATTGGTAGTTTATTAATCTGGTATGAATCAATAAGATAATAGTGGATTTGAGGATGATGAACTGTAAAGACTGAAGAGTTGTAGTAGAAGTTGTTTCAGGTAATTGCATGTTAATTTATGTAGTCCTGTCATAAAAAGTACAAGGAAATGTCATGTTACTTGTAAATTATGTAATGGTGTCGTCACAAGATGCAAGAAAGGAAAAGAAATCAAAATATTTCGATTTCTAGAAGCAATTTAATGCATTTCAAATATGAGACGCAACAGTCAATGTAGGAAATTAAATAAGAGGCTAAAGTGGCTACAAAATTTAAGGCAATATTAGAAAACTAACCAGTTGATATAATGATATGTTGGTCATCCCTCTGACTTGAGAGATTATCTAATTAGTATTTAAATAGTAAGCATCAATGCTTACTGAAGTTAAAAGTCCTGTTAAAAGTTAGGTACTTGGATTCCTTAACTTATTAATTAAAATCTTTTTAAATTTTTGGGTAAAAATTATATCAATTTATGTTGCAATTACACAAAGCGGAACGTGTAAAGTTACTATAGAATTTTTTGGACAGATTTACCGGAAAGCTACCAGTGCTTATGGTGCTTTGTCATCTAGGCTAGGTGAGGAGTCCCTTTTCTTTGAGAATAGGTAATTCCTCCGTGCTCCAGACACGATTATATTCGTTGTATATTTTTTTAGCTTTGTACGGAAATTTGCTGTCTGAAGCAATTGTTTTTAATGCAGGCCAACAAGTTTGGACGCAGTGGTTCTTGGCCATGTGCTTTTCACACTTCATGCATTACCCGTGAGTACTTTATATATGCTGTTTGTGAGTAATCATTGTATTAGTCGATTGCACTCAAGAGTTAGATTTGTTGCTGAATTTTGCTAAAAAATTATGGCTGTCTCATGCAATATGAAAGTAGATACAAAAGGAAAAAGTTGGATATTTGACAAATAAACAGAGAAACTATTGAACGTAGAATCTGCTGTGGTTCTTAAGGACCTTTTTCTTGTCAGTTAGTGTACTAATTTAACACTCCTGCAAAATACCAGAATTGTTTGGTACCATACAAACTCCTGTTTTATTTCACAGACTAAATTCTGCCACTAGATCGCCGTAATTTTATAATGCTACTTGATCATTGCTGAATTCCTCTCAACTGCTGGTGGTTTAAGATACCATGACTACTAGTTTATAATTAATAATACAAACTCTTCGCACTGTTATTCCAAATTTATTGAAGAAAATATTTCAATTTGTTTGTTGAGGATTTTTTAGGACTGCAAAATTTTGTATAGGTGTACAATAATGGCAACATCAAGGTGGATTTAATTTGTGAGAGGAATTCTTGGATTTTCTAAGTTAAAGTTACTGATGTCCCTTCATTTCGACTGAGGAGTTGTTTTGGTCTGTTTGATAGATTTACACTGCAGTTGAAGTTATTTTTTCATTTTTGACTTGTGTTTGGATAATTTGCTTTCCATTTAGAGGACATTTCTCCTTCAGCCCCTTACATTCTCTCTTATCAATTTAGTTTCTGTTTTATCTAAAGCGGTTTTCTCCATATTCATAATAAAGCATCTATAATGAATAATCCATCCTATCTATGGTTCATATAATCTGTTCAATATCAGATTTGAATAATCATTTAAAGAAGAAGATATTGTGCCGAAAAGTCAGTATCACTGAGGTTTTCAGCTTTTAAATCTTATAGTTCCTGGCAATATTTTTCTGGTTTATCCTTATTATTAAACTGGAAAATTTGACTTTGGTGGGGCCTGCAGCCAGTAATAGGATTGGAATTATTCAATCCCAGGGCACATTATATTTTGATTCTTGATCTCTTTCTTCAACTGAAATGATAATGGGGCGAATCACAAGAAATCAATCAGTTCGAATGCCCAATATAGCACAGAAGTTTGATGACTGCGAAAAAGTATTCCTTATGTATGATTCATCTCTTGCTATAACAAGGCATCTGTTCACTTGTCAAGGATTATAACAGTTGTGCATTGGTGAACTAAAGAGCATAATTCACTATATTTGATATCAAGAAGTTGAATGAACCTAGTTCAGTGTATGAATAATGTCTGTCTATCATTTTAAGCACTTGTTATCTCGTCATGGATGAGCATTTTCATACAACTTCCTCCTAATAATGTCTTATGGAATACTTAAAGAGGTAACCTTGATTTCTCCGTCAGTTCAACTTATCGTATTTTGCTGAATCTTCATATATCTTAGTTAGCATGGCAAATGGGGTCAAAATATCCAGTAATTTTTTTAATAGCAATTGATTTGATTTTTCTTCTTGACTATATACATTCCTTCACTCGTCTGAAAAAAACTTTTTATTGTCACTGTCGATCCATTGAAAGTAATGGAAATTTAGCTTTGATCATCAGTGTAACTAGATATTTCAATATCGTTTTCTTTATTTTAAGCAGTTCATGGACTACCGTTTTGTATTAACTTGACATTTGTTGTCAGTTCACATTTTGTTGTTTATTAATGGGCTATGATTTATTTGACGCTGCCTGATAGGAAACATCATTGCTCCGAAGCAAGCTCTTGGATCATACTAATCTTGTAAATTATGCTGAAAGCCACAAGGCAGAGTATATAGATGCCAATTCATCCGCATCTGTTCCTGAATCAGGCCCCTCTACATCTGCTTCAAGGAGAGGTCCTTCACAGTGGAGTGAGTCACTTGCAACTTTTCTGCTTATAGCTTTCTATAGCTTTAGGAATTGCATGTTGTCTTTGTTAATTAATCAGGACATGTTGCTGATACATGAATTAAAATAGCTTGCTGACTTTGAATGAAGTATGTCTAAAAAAATCTTTGCATCTCTCAGCTTTAATTTTTGCTACCTTTCAATGACATTTTTAGCATTTATCCCTTTCTCACGCCATGAATTGAGCCATTGTGTTTGCAATTTTTTTGCTTGTTACATTTCAGTAAGGATGAATAAGCAATTTTTTTGAGTTTCTGTCAGGTCATGTCTGATTGCTGTGTAGAAGTAATACCTAATTGCATATATTATATGAAAATATATGTGATAGGACTTGTAGGATGCTGTTCTTGCTGTATTTAATTCCAGAAAGTTGAATATCCTTACCTGCCTTGAAAACTTTGTTTTCTGTTGAATTTCTTAAATTGGAAACTTCATGATTAATTCCGATTAGGAAAGGAATGGAAAAACTTTCTACTCACAAATTGGGTATGAAACCAGGAATGGAGAAACTTTCTACTCACAAATTGGGTATGAAACCAATGGATGATGCTTGGTTAATATTTCGATTTATATTTGCAGAAGTTAACTCTGATCAAGGAATTCAATGTGATAACCATAAATGATAAAACTAACTGGCTCGCTGGCAATGCACCATGTTAGTCTGTTACTGTTATCGTTTTAGTTCCTATTTCACTCAATGAAGGTTTTATATTCCTTGTTAAATTACTTGAAAGCTTTGTTGGACCCTTAAAATTTATGATAATTTCATATTTCTTGTGAAGGCAGCATCATTGATGGGTTCTCGAGCAAAATATAATAAAGCTGTTGAGTGAATCTAGCCTTTTTATTTTGTAAAGCCACAAGTGCCATTAATTGGTGCAGTCCATTTAACAAAATTGGAATAAACCATTATTTTCCTGTGTGTAGTGGATTTTTCTATGATAATCATCGTAGAAATAATGGTTAAAGGTTTACTCTATCTATATCTATTCGTCCCCAGTGTGGATATTACGAAAATGAGTAAGATGGGCAAATTGAAGTTACTTTCGAAATGAGATTGGTGCTTAACCTATGTTTGGCTCATGTTTATAAACTCTTTATAAACTCTTAAGCCAACCTTTACCCACACATTTTGAGAGACTAGCAAGTACTAAACACTATTTATTTTTATTTATTTATAATTTAAACCGTTTATATGCTACTTTTAAGATGTTTTAGTGTTTTGAACATTTTCTCTTGTACCCTGTGGAAACACCATTTGGGTGGTTTTACACTTTTACCAACCATGGCAATAGTATGGACAGTTGGGTCCCGGCTTAAGGAAAATGGAAAAATATCATTAAAAAATTGCAGTATTTAGTTTCAACAATATATCATTAAAAAATTGGGTTCCTTTTTCTTAATCTTGGCTTGAATGTTCCGGACTGATTAGAACGGCAAGCCATGTATTTATATTTTGAAACATTTTTTTCATTTTAGGTTCAAAGCCAAAGAGCAAATCTAAGAGGGAGAAAACAGAGGAAGAGAAGAAGTTCAGAAGACGGGCTAAATACTTTTTGGTCACTCAACTGGTTGCTGTTTTAGTTTTTCTCTCCCTACTCGGTGGATCTGATGATGCTGAAGTTGAACTTGAAGATGATGATGATGCTATCAATTATGAATAAAACGATGACTCCCATCGACAAGATAGACTTTGTCAGGTCCATGCATAATAAGGGTACTTTTTCCTGTTTTCACTTTCATTTTGCATGGAAAAATTTTGGAAATTTCTTTTCATATTTTATGTTGGTGCTATTTTATGTGCGAAAAACTGTGAATTATTGTTCTTCGAAGATAAATAAAAAGCTGTGACATTTTGACTTCTGATTTTAGCTTAGAGTTCACTCTCTGCATACTAAAAGAAATTCAGGGTTTGAGCTATTTGTTCCTGCACACCTATGCTTGGCTCATGTTTGTAAACTATTTATAAACTCTCAAAACGTACTTTTTATCTACATTTTTCGAGGGACTCACAAGTACTGTTCACTTATCCACCACAATCAATCTAGTTGAGTCATTGGTAATTCTTTGGGACGTTGAAATTTGGAGTTCTAAAATGCTGGCATATCACATTAGATGGAATGAAGATGGGAAATAACTTGGAGAAAAGTGAAGTTTGAAGATTTCTACTGATCTAAGAAAATGCATGAGCCAGTGACAAAACTTGTGCGAGTTAAACTAATATATGTTATATCCGTCACAAACCCAGCCACCTACAAGAAAATTTAAGCGACTCACTAGTCAAGGAAAAATAGACTCCTCAAGGCTGATCTCAATCAAAGTTATACTCGACCACAATATTATGCTATAAATCTAGTAAATATGCGAAAATTACATTTGGATCGATTCTGTCTCATTGAGACCTATACTTTACCCGACCAATGTCAAAGTCTAATATCACTTCAAATCCCATTAATTCAACAAGTTGGCTACAATTTATTTAGCCCCTATTTGAGCTCCATTATTCAAAAAATACATTTTTCTCTTTCTTATTTTCAATCACATAACTCTTCAATAAATTAATAATAGACGTAAACCCAAAACATTTCCTTATATTTTAACCACACATTCTCCAAAAAATCACTATTTCAAAATATATTTTCTCCCAAAATCACATTAAAATAGAACCCACATAGGGGCTTAATGATAAGTCTTGACTCAATCTTTGGAGAGAGAGAGAGAGAGAGAGAGAGAGAGAGAGAGAGAGAGAGAGAGAGAGAGAGAGAGAGAGAGAGAGAGANGAGAGAGAGAGAGAGAGAGAGAGAGAGAGAGAGAGAGAGAGAGAGATGCCAATATCATGATTTGGACGGAAAGTGGTATTTGCAAATGAAAGTTCATCTGCAAAGATGTTATGAGCATCTGTGTAGATGCTTCTGCATAACCAAATTTGGCCATTTGAGTGACTTGAAAGTACTATTGGCCCTTCAAAAAAGTTTCCTTTAATTTGGCACAAGAGAATTTCTCTACAATGCGCACGAAAATCTCAACCTATATATATACACATACATAGCGAGGGTAAAGATCAACACATGAAGCAAGTACGTACTCCCCTTCATTTTTCTTTATGATTTTGTCTAAGTGGATTGCAGCCAAGGATGACTTGCCGGCATTGCCATCTCTTTGTACAACAATTTGATTAAGAAATAAAATCAAAATTGAGAGGAGCTTTAATGGGCAGAACGAAATCGTCTGCTGTGTAATACCACAATTGATTGATGAAATGAAAGAAATTACAAAGGTATAAATATACAAAATACAACAGCATTGCCTATGTGGCAAATAACAAAATTCTGTTACAACAAAATAGAATCAATTTCAGCATCCTTCAGCTCAGTGGGAGCACCACCTTGATTCCAGCTAACTTCCAGCATCTTCAGCTTCACGATTTAATCTTTCAACAGCCCCTCTCAAGGTGGAGAGTAGATGTCTTCTACTCCCATCTTGGACAAATGCGATGGAACACAGCAAAACATAGGGGTTTAGTAAAGATATTAGCAATCTGTGAATCGGTCCTCACATGTCTTGTAACGATACTCCCTTCTTGTATTTTGTCTCGAATTAAATGACAATTCGATTCAATATGTTTGGTCCTCTCATGACGTACTGGATTCGTCTCAATATACAAAGCCGCCTGATTATCACAGAACAATTCAGCCGCCTGTGGATGTGAGATCTGCAAGTCATCAAGGATGCACCTAAGCCAAGTTAATTCACAGCAAGTGGCTGCCATTGCTCTGTATTCTGCTTCAGCAGATGACCGAGAAATTGTACTTTGCTTCTTGGACTTCTAAGATATCAGTGAAGTCCCTATGAAAACACAATAACCCGTTATCGACCTCCTAGAGTCTGGACATGCTCCCCAGTCTGAATCCGTGTATGCTCTAAGCTGCAAATCTGAAGTCGAAGAAAAAAATAGTCCCAAGCCTGGTGCTTTCTTGATGTACCTAAGTATCTTGTGTGCATCATTCATATGTGATGTTCTAGGAGTTTGCATATACTAACTTAGCAAGTGTACTGAATATGATAAGTCAGGTCTGGTGATGGTCAGATATAGCTGTCTGCCTACCAGTCTCCTTTATGAAGCTGGATCGGGGAGTTCCTCACCTTCATCCTTGGACAATTTAACATTTTGATCAAATGGAATTTTGGCTGGAGTAACCCCAATTGTTCTTGAATCTGATAAAATATCAAGTGCATACTTTCTTTGACAGATTTATATACCCTTAATCGATCTAGCAACTTCTATTCCAAGAAAGAATTTCAAATTTCCTAGATCCTTAATTTTAAACTTCTTATCAAGAAGATCTTTAAGAGAATCAATTACTTGCACATTGTTTCCTGCTATTATTATATCAGCAACGTAAACTAGTATAGCAGTGAAGGAGTTACTCGTGGTTTTGGTGAACAAATTGTAATCTGCTTTCGATTGTTGGAATCCCTAATAATAATGAAGGATGATAGCTTTGAGTACCACTGGCGAGACGCTTGCTTCAAGCCATACAAACTCTTATTGAGTTTGCAAACCTTTAAAACTCCATCATTGCGAAAATCTGAAGCCTGATCAGCAGAGTATCCAGGGGGAATCTCTATATACATCTCCTCTTCTAGCCTTCCATGTAGGAATGCATTATTTACATCAAATTGATGTAAATACCATCCTTTTGCTGCTGCTATAACTATTAATGTCCTCACTATCACCAATTTTGCCACAGGGGAGAATGTGTCGTGATAGTCAATTCCTGCTAATTGAGTATATCCTTTTGCCACGAGTCTTGCTTTATACCTTTCAATGGTTCCATCTGCATTAAATTTGATTTTGTAAACCCATCTACATCCTATAGGAACTTTTCTAGATGGCAAATCAGTTACAGTCCTGGTTTTATTTAACTCAAGAGCACATATCTCATCCTTCATAGCTTTGCACCACTGAGGGATTTTCACAGCTTCTTGATAAGTATTTGGTTCAGAATGCATAAGAATGGATGATGCAAAAGCTTTATGATGGTTAGACAAATTATGATATGAGACTGTTGCACATAAGGGAAAAGGGGTAGCTGAAGTCATAGTCCCTTTCTTCTTTTCAGACGCTTGAGAGTGGGTGAGTGAGGTAGCTTGCTGGCAAATGAAGTCCTGCAAGTAAGCAGGTGTTTTCTTGTTTCTTTTAGACCTTCGAGGAACATGAGAACCATTTGAGGATTCAAGTGGTGCAGCAGGCTTAGGGTTGGACTCATCATTTTCTGAAGTGTTTTGGTTAGGCTCTTGATCTGATTCCACTGGTAATAGAGGATTGAGAGGAGGTGGATAATCTAAGTTGTCATTAAAAGGTTCTGGATAAGATAATTGAGTAGGAGTAGGCAACTTGAGATTTGAGTTATCAACATAGTTATGATTTTTGCAATCCTTGAAAGGAAAATTATCTTCATAGAATTTGACATTTCTTGATATGAAAACTTTATTAGTTTCTAAATCAAGTAATTTGTACCCTTTAGTTCCAAAAGGGTATCCCAAAAAGGCACACCTCCTCCCTCTTGGATCAAATTTGTGCCTACTGTGTGTGAGTGTGGTGGCAAAGGCCAAACATCCAAAGACTCTAAGGTTAGCATATGTAGGTTTACTTTTGAAAAGGATTTCGATAGGAGTTTTGTTATCCAAAATAGGTGTAGGAATTCTGTTTATTAGAAAGACAGAGGTAAGAACAAAGTCATTCCAATATTTCATAGGCAATCCACTTTGGAATTTTAGTGCCCGGGCTACATTCAATATATTTTGGTGCTTTCTCTCAACCACATTGTTTTGCTGAGGAGTTTCAACGCAAGAAGTCTGATGTATTATTCCATTCCTAGAATAAAAATGTCTTAAGTCAAACTCTCCCCCATTATCAGTCCTAATTATTTTGATTTTGGAACTAAATTATGTTTCAATCATATTATAGAAACTTTGTAAGGCAATTGAAGCATCAGATTTTAATTTCAGCAAATAGACCCAAGTACATCGACTGTGGTCATCAACAATAATAAGAAAATATTTTGATCCTTCATAAGAATATCAGTACACGGTCCCCATAGGTCACAATGAATCAAATCAAAGCACTTTTCTGACCTGTGAGAACTAGTATTGAAAGGCTTCCTATGAAGTTTAGCTAAAGGGCAGATAGGACATGGTTTCATGTTGTGTTTGAGATCTGAATTTTGATGCAGGTTGGTTAAATGAAGCCTGGAATCTGAGGGATGGCCCAGTCTGAAGTGCCACAGGTCATATCCTTCTTGATTGGCAACAACCGACATGATCATTTTGTTGGTGAGTTTTGGTAATTTCTGGATCAAGCTATCATGAGAGACTTTATTTTGCACTAAATGGTATAAGCCTTGCCTCACTTCACCCAGACCAATCGTCTTCCAAGTTGAAAGGTCCTGTATAAAACATGAATCAGATGAAAAAATAAGACAACAATTTGATGTTTCAGCAAGCTTCTTAGCAGATAACAGATTAAATGAAAAGGATGGAACCAAGAGAACATCATAAAGGTGCAAATTTTCTGTAATCCTAACGCTTCCTATGTGAGTGGCAATAGTGGAACCTCCATTAGGTAGTCTAATGGGATGTGAAACTCCAGATTTTATCTTTGTAAAGAACGAGATGGAGCAGATCATATGATCAGTAGCTCCTGTGTCTATGATCCAAGGAGTGGATGAAGTCATTCTATCTTCATCATTATGAGCAGATAAAGAAATATAAGTACCAGATAATTTGAGTGCATCAGTATGTTTGATGGAAAAAGAATTTGAACCATGGCTGGCAGAAAGAGAGTGTGAATGGTTGATAGGTAGTTTGAGCAAAGCCATCAGTTGAGTGTGTTACTCTTGGGTTAAACTAACTTGGTTCCCGTCACAAACTTGCTCCTGTGAGGTCTTTACAACATCTGCATTTTGATCAGTGGCTGCAGCATTTGCCTTCATCTTTCCATAAAATTTGTGGCCTGGAGGATAGCCATGAATCTTAAAGCAATTGCTGATGGTGTGGCCTGGCATCTGACAATGTGCGCACGTTGGTTTATCTTTGTTGGCCTTAAAACACCTCTCGAGTGAATGCCCAGAAATTTTGCAAAACGTGCAGAAGTACTTCCTTTGAGGTCTAAGGTCCTTCTCCTCTGTTTCCCTCATGGTATTTCTCCTTACCATCATTGCCATTCCATCAGGGATAGGTACATCAGCAGAGATGTCTCTCCTCTTCTCCTCCTGTTGTATGATAGAGTATACCTCGTTCAGCTTGGGAAATGGCTTTATCAATAAAATCTGAGCCTTAATGCTTTTGTAGGAATCATTCAGTCCCATGAGAAATTTCATCACCCAGTCCCTTTCTTGGTTACTGATCATGGTTTGCAGACCTCCACAAGTGCAATTAGGAATTGATTCATAGTTCATAAGTTCAACAAGTAATGTCTTGAGTTTTGAGAAATATGTGTTGACAGAATCCTACCCTGCATCAAAGTTGTTATGCCTTGCTTGACCTCAAAAATTCTGGGAGCATTTTGTTGAGCCAGGCGTTGCTCCAACTCCAGCCAAAGTTGGTGTGCTGTCTTCGCATAGAGTGTGCTAGCTTTAATGTCGACTTCCATTGTGTTTTGTAGCCAAGTAATGACTATGTCATTACATCGAAGCCAATGTTCCATCAGTGGGTCATCAATGTCAGTAGGCTCACAGATGCTTCCATCTATAAAGCCAAGTTTGTTTTTGATTCGAAGTGCCCTCTTCATCGATCTTGCCCAGGAGTGATAGTTGCTGGAATCAAGCATTTGGATTACCAGAAGTGCTCCAGAATTTTCGTTTGCACTAATGAAAACAGGATTGTTAAGAAGAGATGGATCATGAGCGTTTTGAATAGGATTTGAGTTTTGAGGTGGAATTTGGTTTTGATTGGTATCAGTAATGCTGGCTCCTTTATTATTAGCCATTGCTCTGATACCATAAAACAATTTGATTAAGAAATAAAATCAAGACTGAGAAGAGCTTTAATGGGCAGAACAGAATCGTCTGCTATGTAATACCACAATTGATTGATGAAATGGAAGAAATTACAAAAGTATAAATATACAAAATACAACAGCATTGCCTATGTGGCATATAACAAAATTCTATTACAACAAAATAGAATCAATTTCAGCATCCTTCAGCTCAGTGGGAGCACCACCTTGATTCCAGCTAACTTCCAGCATCTTCAGCTTATTTAATCTTTCAACACTTTGTAACACCGCGGTTGTTCTTGATCGGCAAGCTGTCTTTGGCTACATTTTGCTCCCTTCTTCACATGCCAGCCTCTTGACATCTAAACTAGCTACAATGCACAAAAAAAGTTTAAAAAATCCAATTAAGAATCTGAAATTTCAAAGAACCCATAATATTATAGAATCCAAAGATTTTTCTTGTTTTTTTTTATTTATTTATTTATTCTATTACTTGTTCTTTCAAATTAAATAGAGTTTTCGCGATTTTCATAAGAGAGACGCTGAGGACTCCGAATTTTAAAAGTTGTAGCTAGGTAGGTGAAAATAAATTTATTTTGATCTAATTGCTTCCAACTATACGATATTAATTAGTCTAAAAATCGCTAATTCAATATGTAATATATGGTTGAGTACATTTACTTCTACTTATGACATCGAGCATATATCTCTGTTATGTAAATTTTATTACTTCTGCTTTTCTTTTCCTATTTTTGAGTATTGGAAAACTCATGAGGTCATCAATTTTTTTTTTTAATTTTTAAACGTCTTGTCATATGTATGTTTTAGCAGTTGTATCTTCTTATACCGTCTCGTCTACTTTTTCTTTTGTCAAACTGATATATAATTGACAAATTTCAACATAACTTTTTTTCTTAAATAATCAGTAACTTACAGTACTTTGAACCCTACTAATTACTGTAAAGTGAAAAATCTTGATCATGGAAACTTTAAAATTATAGACTCTTGATCTTATTTTGCAATAAATCTATGATTTGGATAGAGTCCGTCCTGCAGGTGCCCATGAATATATCTCAGAGGGTATAGTACCATTTGTTAGCAAATTTTGTTGCACCCCATATATCTCGGAGACATCAATCCGGTGGCGCCGCCTGTTGTTCTGGTACTGCTGGTTGTGATCGGCAGCAGCCGCGGGGGCAACAATTTCATCATCCTCTAATGGCAAGTGATCAAAAGCAGCATTCATGAAAGTTGCAGCCATAATAACTACAGGGCCTGAAGCAATGAGAGCACCAACCACACTCCCTCCCACAACCTGCCCGTGAGCCCCAGCAAGGTAGACCGTAAGGCCGGCTGCCATTCCCGGCGGTGCTGGTGGTGGCAGAATTGAACCGAGCAACGAGGTAATCTCGAACCGGCCATGGAGAGTAATGACTGATCCCGATGAAGCCGGCTGTCGAACGGTGACATTAGTGGCACAACCTGTCGCGTTAAGTACGCACAGGCCACGCTGTTTCCGCAGGGAAAAGTTTATTAAGGTTTCATTAATATCGCAGCCGGAGTTTACTTCTATTGCATGTGCTCTTAGTGCATTAGCACTTTCTCTGGTGATGATAATTGGTGGTTTAGTTTTGTTCTTAGAGCCAGCTGGCCTTCCTCGAGGGCGGCGGAGGGTTTCTCCTGCTGTGAGTGGTAGTGCCACCTGCAAATTACCTCTTTCATCGACTCGGTGTCCGCGGCTGCTTCCACCATCTACTTCTGCAACACCAGCCATTTCTGCACACTGGGAGAATCACCAATTATGGGTTTAAGTAGGCAAATTGTGGAGATAAATTAATGTAAGAGAAGGCATAAAATTAAATTTTGTTGATTAGAAGATGATTAAGTAATACTTTTGTAGCCATGTAATTTATACTTATGCTCCCTTTCCTAACTTTCAACAATTTTTTCTTTCATGTCAATTGCCTTCCCCAACAAACCCCATGTTTCCATTAATTATACTTAATTTGAACCAAATCCATGTTTAATGCACAGCTTCAAGTAGGGTTGTAAGCAAAAATCGTCAAATAGAAAAATCGAACCGAAACCGCAATTTCAAAACCGGTGATTTGGTGCCATGTGGACCCGTCAACGAAATGATTTTGAACCAAACCAAACCGGTCAAAAACGGTTTGGTTTATGTTTGAGAATTTTAATTATGGTTTGAAACCAAACCGGACCGGCGAAAAATATATAAAATAAAAAAA